AAAAAATATTACATAGAATTTTAGAACTCTTTTTAAATGCATACTTTTGCCAAGATGCCAATTTTGTCTTACGTTTCCTCTAGGGATTAAAATGTATCTCCTCAAATTTACAACTTGGAGACTTTTTATTGCACCAATCCACTTAAAATGTGGAAGCTTTGCAACAATACAGAACTTTTAACTCAATTTATTTTACATTTGTCGTAAGTATTAAATTTAACCAGATTAGAAAGCCAAAAATATCCTTTTATCTTTTTTGCATTAGATAGCTGTATGTATTTAAAATAAATTTTGAAAAATGTTCACTTATTTTACCCTCACATGCATCATTTCTGATGCTGTTTTTCACTTTCTAATATGTTCTTCGATTTCACTTTGACTTTGTTTAAAATACCCTTAACTTTTATTCCTCTTGAAAGGGGAAATATTATGATGATTATTTCATATGCTTTGGGGAATATAATATTAAATATTAGCCTTTTGCCCTTTCATTCCCCTTAATAATATCTGATATTTCTCAAAATCTCACTGTTCATTTCTGTCCACCTACTGATTTTAATATGCCGATTGTTGATTGTTGAGTTATCCTTGATGGGGTTGGCTAAGCTTCATGAACCTACATATGTATGACTTCAGACACTGCAGACTGTTGTAGCCTTTTTCTTTAAAAAATTTTGCTATCTATTCTTGCTTTGCTATATCCCTGTATTTTAAGTAAAACAATCCCTGATGATACAGAATTTTAAAAACAAAATAATATGAGATTAACACTGGCTAATATATTACGTATTGTTAACTACAAAGCAGTTGTTCACATTACAAGATACAGACTTGAACAATGATCAAACAAGAAAAGCATGAACTGTCTTTTTTGATGAACAGAGATTTGATGTATAGTTATCTTTCTTGTATTTAGATACAGATACAGATAGATATATAGATAGCCTAACATATAACTTATGCTTTCAAATTTTGAATGTTTGTTTCTCATAATGGATAATTCTTTTTGCTCTACCTTTAAATCTGACCCTTTTTCCTATTGCCATTCATCTGTTCAAATTCATCAATAATTTTATTGGTATTTTGAAGATCTGAAGTTTCCTTTCAGTATTTAATTTCTAATTTTTGTGGCTTATTATTTTATTCATTTTATACCTCTATTTCATAAGCATAGTTTTATTAACCAGTTTTTGTTCTTTGTCATCTGGTTTGTACATGTGTGTGACATTTCCAAAGGCAGAATCTACAACTATCTTGAGAATGTATCAGTGTATTTTTGTTCTTCTTATGAAAGAATATTAGCTAATTACCTCAACTGCAGTTTGATTTTGTAAAGTCTTAGGATTTATTTTTCCTCTTAACAATACCACGTATTTGTGAAGGCAGTTTTTTTGTTTTGTTCAAAGTAAGCAATACTAAGTAAAATTTGAAAATTTTAATTAATATCCTTCAATATTAGTATTCTTTATCCTGAAATAGTAATTCAAATTCCATTTTTCCTAGAAATTCACTTATAAAAATATAATTGGAAATGTATTTTAAATTAACCTTTCTGTGAAGCTGCTTGTGTACCAACCTGATTGAAGAAATTTAAATGTTAAGTACAGCAAACATAAAAAAGGGGCATCAAGGAAATAAAAGCAAATGCAGTATGGAGGTGGATTGCTTGCAAGGCATTCATTGGTGAAGGAAATGCGGGAAAAGGAATGAAAAAAGGAATGGTGATGTCATGCACATGTACAAACTCCCCACAAGTGATGTGGCCATTGTGTACTACACACATGTTAAAAAAAAAAAACTAAAGAAAAAATTGAAATTAGACTCTCTGTTTTTAGTGGTATATCCATGTGTGCTTCCATTTATATAAGGAAAAATTATTTTAAGGTTAAAACATTGATTTATTGTTTCACATACTATTTGAAAAGAATAAAATCAGGTAATTAAAGATTTAGCTTCTTACAAATGACAATGGGATTAAATTTTTATAACAAATCCGTTTATAACAAATCCTTATAACAAATCCATTTTTAAATGAAATAGATTTAAAAAATTATATGTGTGGATTTGTATTTATAATTAGTATTAACATCAATTTAGTTCTCTTTATTTCACAAGAAGCTAAATACAAATAAATATCCTATGTGGATAGTTTAGAATAGCTGGCTTTTTAAGAAATGTCATGACCATTTCTGCTTTACTTTTAAAGTACATAGCAACCTGCTTCAGAAGTCATTCTTAAATTGTGTTAAAATAAAGGATTAAGCTATATTCTAAGGTGAAACAATCAACCTTTTTATTTATGTTTTTCATTTTTTTCTAATTTGTTTTTTAGTACTGGAAATAGAACCCAGTGCTTTTGTACTGAGATATATCCCTAGAAATTTCTTTCTTTCTTTCTTTCTTTCTTTCTTTCTTTCTTTCTTTCTTTCTTTCTTTCTTTCTGTCTGTCTTCTTCTTCCCTCCTCCTTTTTTAAAATAATTTTTTATACAGTGTCTAGATAACTTGCTAAATGGATCGGCTGCCAGCCTGGGTTAGAACATGTTGTCCCTGTGACTTTGCCAACCAGAGCCCTGGAATTATGCCTGTGTACGATACCCGGTGTACTTTTATTTTCTTGATGAACTCTTCATACATGACAATTTATAACACATTGATTTTTACTGAAAGATAACTTAAGGAACTTAAAGTAAAAACAAGTGGGAATTATGCTTTGTCACTCTGATATTTTCACTGTAAAAAATCAAAGAGATTAATTTTATGTGCTATAAATGGAAAATTTTATTGCTAATATCAGAGCAAACAAATTTTGAAACAACTGTAATAAAATATTTGCATTACAAAGCTGTAGTAAAAAGTGGTATAAAATTATTACATTTTTACACAATACTTTCTGTGAGCAATATTACAAAATAAATCAAGAATATAATAGATAAACTACAGTTAATTTAATAAATAGAGCTATACTCCAATTTTTTTAAATTCCAAAATTCTTTTCTCATTAATATTTAAAAATTGAAAATAATTTATGATTATTCACAGATGATATTTTTAAGGCTAGAAATAAAAATTTCTTAAAATTTTTCTCAAAAATCTGTATGGGAAAATCATGAATTCTGCTCCTGGAATGTGACAATAACTGAGTAAGGCTTCATTATAAAATAAATATAAAACAACTTACGTTTTCATACATTATGATCAATATTTTCCTATGAATTTACCAGAGTGCTATTATGTAATCAGTCTGAGAACTAGTATATAATTCATCTATTAGTATATAGAATAGGAACATGTCTTAGTTACTTAGCAATCATTGTTAGGACAAAATAGTTGGTATCCAAAGTTAAAAGAGGCAAGATTTATTTTGGCTCACAATTTGTAGGAATTTCAGTCCATAACTGGCTGGCTCCAAGGCAGAGCTGCACAGTAAAGGGGCACTGTGGAGAAGAAACAGTTCATGGAAGGTAGAAAGAAGGCAGATGGTAGCAAACTGCTAGCAACAGTAGCAGCTTCTTTCTACTCTTTTACTATCCTAACTAGGTGCAGCTTAGGACAGGTGTCAAGCCAATCACTGCGTTAATTTAGTAATCACACATACTTAACCCCACCATCACATATGCTAGATCCAGCCACCACTGAAAAAGCCTCCCCATGACTGCATGAGGCTTTAGAACTCCGTCTAGATACAATCCATAGCAGAATGATTCAACATTTCATAGAAACTGGATTAGGATTTATTGAAATTTGAATAAATCTTTTAATGCAATGCTTAAAGAAGCTTATTTAATATCTTTTAAAATAACGTACACTAAGCAGTAAAGAATTACCTAAATTTTGTCTGTGAAATTTGTGCAATGCATTTGAGGAAACACATACCAGTCTCGGAATATATTTGTTACATACGTTTAAAGTGGAGCATCTCTTAGTTCTTACTGTTATTCTATTTCATATTATATTAATATTCAGTGATTTTCAAAGGGCTTTTTCTTGATGATAGCATGTCCTATTGCGCATAGTTGGAAAGCCATTTGTAATTTGGAATAAATGCAGAAAAATCTGATTTCGTTTTTGAATTCAGTATTAGTTCTCTGATTTTCTTTCATGGAACGCTCTTTGAATGGCATTACATACTTGGCAAGATTTTTCTCCTGGAAGTTTTTATTCTGAGAACTGAAACAAGTACATCTCTAATGCTTCACTAAATCACTCTGAGCCAAACATACTTTCTTATCTCAGTGCAAAGCAACATTGCAATCAGCCATAAATGAATTAGTTGCTGTCTTCCAAGTCTGTTTGTCCTGAAATGTGGAACTGTAAACTAACTGTAATGACTGCGTGTCAAAACAGAGAGTTTGGTGTGAAATCTTTATTTCAAGACCCTTGTGTTTATGTATACAAAGCCGTCACTGGGTGAATTCTTCCAATCCCAGTCAGCCCATCGTTTCAAAGTTACTCAGCCTACACTGTAGAATGCTACAAACACACTCTATTGATTTCCTTTCTCTAACACAGTGTTAATACTCTTAGATCTTTCCTCTGCCATTGCTTGAGGATCTCATATCTTTTGTCCTATGAAGTTCCTTTGAGTGCTCTATCAGTGGATTTCTGCATCACAGCTGAACTCTCACCACTTTTCATTGGACTCAAAATATTACAGTTATTTTTGTTTCTAGATTTGAGGATTCTATCTGGATATTTTGTTAGATTTAACAAATATTACCCTTGATAGAAACCTGCCTGTTACTAACAGTATTGCCTATCTTTTTGTGGGTCCTCATTGTTTGTTATACATACGAAGGTGAAATTATCTTAGAAAAAAGAATAGTGGTCCAATACATCCAGTCTCCAAACAGCCTTAATATCTTATGAGCTTTGAAAGATTCTCCTCTTATATGTGTTATGGATTAAAAATTGGTGGTCAGCTTAACACCAGCTGAATTAAATCAGCATGGTGCTGAGTGTAGATGGCCCACCTGAGGAAAGTTGCCAGCTCAAACTTGGAGAAGAAGAGTGAGGCATGGTGGGTTTCATTAAGTGTTGCTGTTTAGGTGTTGGTTCTCCTGGAGGAGCTTGTTATGATTAGCTTCCCCAGTGTGAGTTCGACCATTTTTATCGGAGGAGCTCAGGTAAGGGTGACTATGGTTCACTTTGAGGGAGCTCTGGTCCTTACAGTGAGCATTGCTTCCTGTATCTAGGGGGAAGACATGCCATTTAATCTCTAGGAGAAACTCATCACAGTGGCTTTCTGGCATGTACTCAACTGTTCTCATTGTCAGAGGAGCTCGTGGCCTCCTTATCACTGAAGATGGCTGTGGTGGTTTTCAGGACAGCCCTTGTCTTTATGACGAGAGTATTTCTGGCTCCAGTTTAGAACCCTCAATCTGTCAGCACAGCCTCTTCCTCCCACTGGCATAGACTTTCTAGCTTCCACCACTGACTGTTGGGCTTTCCCAGCATGGATCCTTAAGACAGACGGGTGTGAGGCCTTCTTGTGGGCTCTAGATCTCCAGTTGTTCTCATGGGAGGCACTGTTATGGGCTCTAGGTCTTCATTGGACTTACGCAGGACATTGCTGTGGGATCCAGGCCCTTAGCTGAATATTCTGGGTCTTTAATGTTGTGGACAGATTTCCTGCACTTTCTTGTGTTTAACTCTGGATGACTTTCATAAAATAACATAAATTCTGTGTCCTGATTCTAATTGTTCTCATCACAGCGTCTAACTACAACAATATATATGAAATATTATGTATAAAATTATGTATGTGAAACATATACATATATAGTATGAAAAATTTCAAAGCTCATGATGTATCTACATATATACATATTACACATATTTATCTATATGGTGTGTGTACATGTGCGTGTGCATGTATGTGTGTGTGTGCATTTTATTCTGGTTATGTACTAACATACTTAGAGAAATTTTGTAGTAATGTTTTATTTTGTCAGCGAGAATACTGTACAGGGAGAAATCACTCCAAATGTTCTGGGGTTTTAATTTGTTTGATTTTAATTGCAGGTGGCAAATTATTAGTTCAGTGGCCTGATGCATGGAGTGTTTGGGATCAGAGCAAACTGAGAGCTGTGTTCAGTGGGAGTACAAAAACGGGAAATGGTTTTACCATGTATGAAAACAGAGTTCTTATGCACTGTGTCTGCAGCTTACTGTTCACGAAACCATCGATGAGCGAGGAGTCATCAGGACCAGGTCTATGAATGCATACTTCACTGTTTTTGTACTTATGTTTATGGACGTATCAGCATTTTCCTAGACTGTGTTGCATGATATCTCAAGCCAGACTGTTGCTTGCTCCATGTACTCATGCTATATTGTAATTAGTATGTTTATTTCTTTTCCTGACATTCTCCCAAATTTTGGATGGAAAACAGAAACTGGAATGAATCTGAGACTGCTTTAAGCATCCTTATGTTTCTCCAAAAGTTGTGTTTAAACAGTAGCAAGGTCAAAGCAAAATAATTACCATGTGATCATGGAGGCTGAGAGTACAAATTCCGTATACGTATAGACTGCTGGGTAGCATACCATCACAAAGAAGGTTCAGAAAGAGCCAAATGACACTTTCATATTCATTCTTTCTGCATTCACCTCTTCAGGGAGTTGGTGAGCACACCAATATTAGGCAGTACAACTGGTCTTATTTTGCTAGTGATTAAAAAGTTGTTATTATTCAGAAACACTCCACAGATTCATCCAGAAATGTTTACAAAATATTTGGATGCCCAGAAGCCAGGTTGACACATAAAATTAACAATCACAGGCTGTTTATTGTTAGATATGTAAAAACACCCTTGTCCTCTACCAGTCGAACACTGTTAAAGTTTTCTTCCCCAGTTGTGACACTGATAGTGCTTAACATAGTTTTGTGCTGACTTGATTGGTGCATGTAGGCCTTGAGTTTTCTATGGAAATTCCCACACTGCAGCTTGTATGCTCTATCTAGGGACTAGGCCGAGGTCCCTTATGATCAACCAAGCAAAGTGCCATAATTGTTTCCTCTGTTTAACTCTAAGTGACACAGCCATCTCCCAAAGTCTATCTTTCTATGCATTTCCAAAGACCGGCTGATAATGTTCATTAGAAAAATCAACTTAGGAAAAGGAAATGTAAGAATTTGGAAGATGCAGAGCTGGAGCAAGGCTAGCTTCAAGAACCATGAATAAGCTGCTCTAGTCCTAAAAACACAGGACACCTGAGGCAAGTCATAGGGTGTTAGGTGAAGAGGTTTCATGTGATACTCAACCTCCCGAGTGTATAAATAAATGTACTGCAGCTGTTGGAGCTCTCGCTCCTTCTCTTCTTTCTTCTTCCTTGCTTACTTCTTATCTACAGAGATGGTTCCATATGGCTTAGTTTTCTGTATTTGAGTTCTTGTTCTTTTTTCTACATCCTCCCAACATCCTTAGCCTAGCAGCATTGAGACCTGTGCAGGATGTGGACAGAAGACTTCGTCTCCCTAAACAGTTGTAAATCATTTCATGTGGCCTCTATTCTGCTTTTGTCTTTTGAAGACTGCGACTCTCTATGTAGTTGTAAATCATTTCATGTGGCCTGTATTCCAAAGAGACAGACTGCTTTGGGCTTTTGAACATCCTAACACCTGCACTCTGTCATTGTTCTAAGTCTGTCATGATATCGGCTACAAGTCCTGAACAGCCATCAGGCAGACAGCTGCTCTCTGGCCAGTGAACTTACTCATAAAACCTTCTTAAACTACACATTCTCTCTCGAAATTATTAGCTGACTCTGCAACTTGTAGCCTTCCCAGTGTCAGCCTTCCCTGACCCTGGAGCCTCCCCTCTGGGTCCTGAGGTCAGCTTGAAAATTCAGGCTGTAGCAGAGGTGGCCAGAGCCAGGGCAATGAGGTGCTAATGACCATAAGACTAAGACTAACTGAGACCAATTCTTATGTGCCAACTACCTTAACCACTTACTAAAACTCACAGATTCCTTTTTTAAAGCTTGCTTACTACTATCATCTTTTTTGTCATAAGTTTCACCAAATCTTAACTATTTTCCTACATGCCATGGTCTGTCTTAAAATTATGACAACTAAGCCCTAAAATTCTTTAAATGTATTCACCAAAATCTTAATCCTCCCTTCCTGCTGTAAATTTTAAAAATTAAAAGTTAATTTTATGATATGCAAGGAAATACATAGTCAAAAGCTTCTAGTAAGCATTACCTTAAAATCAAAATTGTTTTGTTATTGTTCTAATGAGAATGAGAATATACATGGACACTTTTACCATTTATCACAAAAGTTAAATGTAAAAAAATTAAGCACATCTGTTGTCCACTCACATTTTCATGGAGCATCTTCCAGAATATTCTCCTGGATTGTTTCCTGACCCAGAATCTGACGCTGGAGTAGCCTGTAGTCTAGTACCGGAGTGGCGGTAGAGGTGCCGGGAAAGCAGACTGGGCTTGTATCCCAGGTCTCTTGGAAGTGACTGGATCTTTATAAGCCCAAGACAAGAATTCTCCTGTCCAAATATCCAGGCAGGCATAGGTAGCAAGCTCTCCTATTCAGGTCGTTTTTTAATGACTGTACATTCCCAAGCATTTTCCATTTATGTTATCCAACTCCATGAACAAAAAAGAAGACAGTCTGTCCAAACATACTGTTGTAAGATTTGGAGGTACATACATCTAAACAATGACAATTCCTTATCTGGTTTCCCAGGGGGAAGAAGTCTTTTTCTTTACACTCTGTGATACACAGGGCCCTTTCAGTTCATCTATACAGTGTTTTCCACATCAGTTCTCCTGGCATATGTACCATCTCTGGGGAGAGCTCACAAGATCCCCAGTGTTTTGTATAGACATTCAGATTTTGGAAGCACTGCTATACCAGAGAACTAACTGTGAGAAGGACCTTCTGAGATGGAGTATAAATGTAGAATCTGTTTCAACCATTTCAGATCAGATCGAAAATATCTACAAGTTGGAAACATATCCTTTTTTGTCTAGTCACAGGAGAGATATGTGTGAAGCTGGGAAGCCTAAGGCAAAGTTCCTGCCTACGGTGCATTCTTGAAACATTAACTAAATTGTGCCTTTGTTTGGCAGGCTTGTATTTTTTAAACCCTGGGTTAAACAAGTTCAGAGGTTTATCAGGGTGAAGTGTTATGTTACATACATATATATCACTAAAGAAAATGGATATTGTAAAAATAACTTCATTTAGGCAGATTTGTTTGGAGGAGAGGCTGTATATGAGGCCTAAGGTTATCACAAAAAATGATGGTAGCATTCATCTGTAAACCTAGTAGGACTTTAAAATGTTGTATTAACATCATGAATTTTGATGAATCTGGCTGTATTAGTCAGCTCAGCCTGCCATGATAACACACCACTAATCACATGGGTTAAAGAGAAATTTATTTGCTTCTGTTGTAGCAGCTGGATGGTTGAGATTACATGCCAACCTTGTTAGACTCTGGTGAAGTTTCTCTTCTTGGTTTGCAGGTAGCTGCCTTATCCTGTGTTGTTGGTTGGCTTTGCATGTACATGTAAGGCTGGGATGGGGGAGAACAGAGAGAGCACAAACATTTGAATATTGTCTCCTTATAAGGTTATTGATCTAATTATGTTATGTCCTCTCACTTAACACTTCATTTAACACTAATTATGTCTCACAAGGCACTAAATCAAGTACCTTCCTATGCATAGTTAGCATTTCAGCATAATGAACTTTGTGAGAATTCAGTGTATCACAATACAGTTTATCACGTCCATAAAGTTTCTCATAAATCAGGATCCTCATTGTGTCACAAAATGTTGGAGATACAAATTAATCTATTTAATAAAATAAAACATCATATTCTCTTTTGACTTTAACAAGTAAAATAACTTGCCTCTGGTCAAGGGATGTCAATGCTTTTTGTAACTTTTTTTTTTTCCTTTTTATCAGTACCAGGGATCAACTGATGACTGCCTGCTTGCAAGGAAGGCACTTATGCCGCTGAGCTAAATCCCCAGCCCCGCTTCTTATAACTTACAATATGGTACGTATTTTGAAAATTATTTTCACTGATAGCAATAAGATTACTGTTTTCAGTTCAGTTAATTTAATTTTAGCTATCGTGGCCTTTGGAATATGTGTTTTAAGCATTACAGATTTTTTTTTTATAAAACCATAGCAAGGTAGAAAGAATTTTTATGTTTATTCCGCAAATCATCTCTTAGAAAAAAATATGAAACAAATCAGACGATCCAGCCATTTGTTGATATGGATATTTTTGTTGTCTTAAGGAGTACAGCCTTATAATAGTTCATTACAAGATACTGCAATTTTGATTTTTCAAACAAAATGTCTCATTTCCTTATGGGGAATGTAGAGGTTTCCTCCTATGAGTTTAATAAACCCCTAAGAAGTTTTCTTGCCTATCTTGGGCAACAACATCCATACATAGGAGATAAAGCTCAAATGGGCTTGTTAAATACCCATCTTGTTTCTTGGCTTTTCCATAATCATTTCTTTTCTTCACTATGAATTCCCAAGACTTGAATGAGAGCTGTAATAATAGCCACACCACCCACTCTTCAGCTAAATTTAAAGCTTTTATCATATAGGTCCTTGGCAAAGGGATAAATGTATATCACATTACTATAAAGAATACAATTTAGCAAACCACAGGAAAAGAAATCTGCATTCTTACAAAATACAACAAAGGCTATGCCATGTAACACAGTATGTACTATGAAAAACAGAAATAAAAAATACCAAGGCAAAAGTACAATCATCTTCATAGATTTATCAGAATATTCATGTAAACATTCGGACTATCAACTTCTAGAAAGTTTACTCTCAAGATAACTGTGAAAAGCACTGAAATACATTTTATTTCCATTCATGTGAGGATAGGTGATGAACTCAGCAAATAGAATTTTCATAATTTTGTACACTAAGGTTATCAAAGACATTCAAGGAATTAAGAATGCTACAGCATTTGAAAGTTGTGGCTCATCAAGAAGGATGGAAATAAATTGGGGCTGAGGATTTAGCTCAGCAGCATAAGTGCCTGCCTTGCAAGCAGGCAGTCGTGAGTTCAATCCCTGGTACTGATTAAAAAAAAAGAAAGAAAGAAAGAAATGGGCAATTATTTTAATATCATGTATTCTAGAGCAAAAATTCTGCAAAAGGGAGGAAAAAAAAAGCAACCAAAAGTTTTTATGTATTGCTAATAGAAGTCTCATACTGCAAAAGAGAATGGCTCTGACTTATGGTAATGGATAGAGATTTTATATTTTCAACAGCTTAAGGTATCTATGAAATAATAATATGAAATAAAAATACAAAGCACAAGACAAGTCAAAAATTAATTACCTGTTCTCAGTTCTTGGAAAATGATGAATTGTTTCAGTACAATTATCTGTTTATCCAACATTTACAAATGGTTTAGGTGCCCTATTTTAGCTCTGTTCTATCAAAATTGCTCATGATTCTTAGTGTTTTATGGGGTATATGAAATACAGCTGTTATCTTGTGACATTCTTTAATTTTATTTATTCTAAATCAAACAATATTCCTTTCCCCTGCCAAAATCTGTCCTTATCAAGTAAAAATCAAAAGTACATTTCACAGTGAATCTGAAAAATTTGCTTTGTAGTATAAATCCTCTCCCACAAAGTTATGTAAAAACCTATTTCTGTGTCTTCTCTTTCAAAACTCTCTAGCTTCATCTTCTACCATGAGCACCTTTTTTAAACTTTTCTTCATTGACTAACATTATCAGATCTTTATTTTAGTTTTTTAATATCCTAAGAATTCTAATTCTTCAGTTTTTTTAGTATGAAGTTATGCCACAGCTGCACGATTACTAATATACTACTAATATACTACTCTTCTTTTGACATATTGTGGCATTAAAACCGACAGGAGGAAAGAATGGGGGAAAGAAGAAGTAATATGTATCATGTGCAGTTACAAATTCCTTACCATGAATGTGATTATTATATTACACGTATCTAAAATGTACCAATCCATTGCCTGCCTGGTAATTGGGAGGTTGTGAGTTCAATTCCCAGTACCAAAAAATAAATTAAATAAATAAGTAAATAAAATATACCGATAAAAAAGTTAAAAAATAACGCTTTACAGTATTTGTGAAAAGTCATACTGGTGAGAAAATAACTCAGACAACCATGAAAGGATCTCTGCACTTTCTTCTGCTCTCTGCTGTGACCAACTTGTTTTCTCTTGAAGCTCTCTCCAGTGTGGTGTTCCCTCTCCTTTGGAAAACTGTAAGAAATAAACTAATTTTGTGATTTCAACTCTTTCCTCATCCTTTGGCCTGATTGTATCTGATTAAAATAAAATCTAAGGCAAGATGTGTCACGCATTCGAAAAGTTATCCCTTAATAGTTTGACTTATTTGGAAAAAGAGCACATGTAGATGAGGGTCTGATTTCTTCATTCATTTTAGATACTTGTAATCCTCTATAATCTGAAAACTTTGAATGTCATCTTTCTACTAGTCTGGGTCATTGGTCTGATCTGACTTTTTCTACTATAAGAAAGATTTTTAGATGTCTCTTACATTCTTGTGGCACAGCTTCGGAGATATGTTTTTCCAAATGTTCATTGGCTGACTAAATACTGATTGATTTCAAAGTACAGCAGTCCGTGGAATCATGAATTTAATTCTTCCCACCATTTTGGTTACAAACTGAATTATAGAACTAAATCAAATTTCCCTATAAGGTCAGCGATGAATCTAACCATTGTGAGATAGAGTGGTGCCTCACTTTAGGAACTTAATTTGTTTTGCAATTTGAGAGGAGATGGCTGCATTTGTGTCTGTGTGAGGAAGATGGCTGTTGTGTTTGTCAAACAATGTGGAGTTCACTAACAGAATCAAATTTTAGCTGAATGCTTTTGTTTGTGAGCCAAATTATTTACAAAAAGAAGTCTTCATGAACCAAGGTGTTACTGTATTATCTATTACATTATTTCTCTATTTCTTTTTTCATTCTTCCTTAAAATAACATGAATAAAATATTTGATTTAACAATAACATTAATTTAACATTAGTTTTTCTCCATGACAGCTGAGTATACATATATATACAAAAATCAGAGTTTCCAGGTACAAAATAACTAACTTGAACATTTACCAAATAGATTTTATGAGTCAGGCATTGAGAATGTAATGAGATTTGCAGTACAGATTTTTTTTCTGGTGTTTTATTTTTGTATTTTTTACATTATAGCAATATGGAGAAATTCACATAAATCTAGATATTATGTTATACTTGTGAGATATTTAATTATAGCTGGTCAATTCTTGTCAGCCTGACATGCTGAAAACACTGTATTTTCTCTCTCTCTCTCTCTCTCTCTCTCTCTCTCTCTCTCTCTCTCTCTGTGTGTGTGTGTGTGTGTGTGTGTGTGTGTGTGTGTGTGTGTGTGTGTGTGCATCTTGGTTTCTTTGCTCTAAGGTCTTATTTCAGATAACTTATGAAGGGAAAATAAAATTAAACACTTCTTTGATGATAAGAAACTTGTGGATCTTTGAAATCTCCACACTGGCTTACAATTTCTTTCCGTCTTAAAACCCAAAGAAAGAGTTGGAAAATTAATCTAAATATTTCTAGTGATAAAAATTCCAAGAAGTCTGATGGACTTACAGGGGCATGATTTTGGTAGCATGGGCAGGAACATTAATACTATTCTGCAATATTCACCACCTTTGCTCGTTGTGCTAGGCACACTGTGCTAAGGCCTCAGCAGAAGCCATGGGAGGTGACACAGAGCATGAGACTTCCGGGAAGCACTGAAATCAGGCCCAACCACTGAGATTTGGCAGAATAATCAGCTATTGCATATTCATAAAACAAGTACGGTACACAGTAGAGTTTATCATGTGTTGTGAAAATATAGATTCTAAAGGAATAAGTGTAGGAAAAATACTGATAAAATGGCAATGAGAGACAATTCAGATGGCCTTCATAAGCACAATTAGTTCTAGTATTCAGTTCCTCCAATATATTGTCCCTCTTTGGTCAATAACTATTTTTCTTGTGTAACCAATTTAAGTAGCTCTTTAATCAATAGCGTAAAAGCATTGAAGCCAAAAATGAGTTTTATTTACTGAAGTTTTTTTTCTGCTGTATATACAAATGTAAGTGGTTCTGTATTATAAGTGAGGTTTGCAGCTAAGATTAATTACATGTGAAGGCAAATGTTTTGTCACTGTCTGCATTGATTTGGCACTGTAGAAAGTAACCAGAAAAAGATGCAAAACTTACCTTTTCTGCACACCATTCCTTAGACTAATAGCAATCAGAGTCAATTTTAAAAACAGAAAGTGGTATCTTTTATACAAGATGAGTGTTACTTTCTGAAACATCTTCTGTTCTGAAAAATATAAAACTGCCAATTTTGGCATTTACCTGTTATTAAAAAGAGCTGACAGAATCTCATCTGAGAGCCATGTGTGATGCCTTTTTTAATACAGGCATTTACATTTATTTGCTTTTGATGTAGAAACAATCTCCTGAGGAAATCATTCATTTGGTTTGCTTTTATTACAAAAATCATGCACAGTCTTTCCCCTGCATGTTTATTTATCCATTTTAGAATTAAATTACTTTTTTGAGAACATTTGATACCTTTCCTTTTTCTGCTATAAATTGTCATATTTCTTCACCAAATTTAAAGATGAACAGAGGAAAGATTTGTCCATTTTCACAAGAATCTTAAAGGGCCAGTGTTCTTAAAGTACCAGTGTATATTTCTCCACATTCTCTCTTTCTCTATCATACTTACTGTAATATTTTAGTGCGTGACGGCTCAATCATAGTCCCTGGACTACAGACCATGAAGAGGGTAAGCAACAATGTTAGCCAACACATTGAAGACCTGTATTACTTAATAATAGAGCTTCATTCTGAGGAGGCATTTATGTATGAGTGTTACTACTTTGGCATTATTTGACCATGTACGAGGTGTAAAATATATGGTTAATTAAAGAAATTAAAACAGCAAAATCAAATCACTATTAATCCACCACAAACACATTTCCTTCCTTCTGACACACTTCTTCCATTATTCTTAGCCCTTTCTGAGTCAGTTCTGGAATTAGGTGAATAGAGAAGGTGACAAGTATCAATCAAATTATGATTTTTTTAAACTTTATAATGGTGCAAAGATAATAAGCATTCAACAGAAGCTGTTACTAAATTTTGAATTTCGATCCTTTCCCAATGTGTGTATGAATCTTTCTTACAGCGCTGGGCAAGAGCATCATTTCACAGCCCCTGGTCAGTCTCACCATCCTGAGTTGCTGCGCTGTGTTTGGGGAATGAGGTATCTGAAGCACATTGTCAACTTCCCATATTCTGAATCTGTGATAAGATTATGGGGACAAATTTCCACTCTAAGTCAAGGAGCAGAGCACTTCTACAGTGAATCACAGCAGTCATAGACAGGAAGGACTATTGAAATCGCCACTTTGTCTTTCTGTCTGTTTGGCACTGGCTTTTTCTATATGACCCAAGCCAGCCTAGAACTTTCTGGGCAGCCCAGTCTGCCCTCAAATTTGGCATCCTCCTTCCTCAGCCTCTAGAATGAGGGCAATATAGGCATGTGCCACTACATGTGTCTAAGTTATCACTTTGATTAAATGCTGGAGGTGAAGTTTGGAATAGGATGAGCCCACAGGGGAATTTCAGGCAGACATTTTCCCCACCCTTTGATGTGCTTTCCACCCAAAACCTACCAGGATTCAAGGGTATGTCTTAGTTCAATTTATTGTAATAAAATTCTCAGTACTGAATGTCATAAACTAAAGAGATCTGTATGGCACACGATCTGAGGGTCTAAAAAGGAGTCAAGTCAGTCTCTGAATGTCATTTTCATGTAAAAAAAATTGCTTGTTTGTCCCAATGATTTTATTCTTTGTCTTTTTTATTTTAAAGAGAAAAATAAGTAAATAAAAATTTCAACAAGATAATAGGAGAGTAACAATGGTTAATACATGACATATTGTTATCTTCAAAGTAATTACTCGGAGTACAAGACATAGGCATGAAAACTTGTCCAAAAATATCAGAACAACCTTTCATTCAATGAACTAAGAGAAACTAGTAGTATAACTATCTCCTTCCCTTCCTACTTTCTTTCTTTCTTTCTTTCTATCCCCCCCCCATTCTCTTTCCTTTTGAACAGCTTTTTCCCATTTCACATCTTCTGTGCATTCTAAATCTTATTTACTCTTTCAGCTTTTACACTAGGGGGCAGTATACTGTTTACATGTGGGTGCCTGGTTTATTTCACTTGACTATGATTTCAAGACGCATCCATTTTCTTATAAAAGTTTCAACTCTATCCTTCTTTATGGCTTAGAAGCACTCCATGGCATAAAAGGATCGTGTCTTTTTCATCCACATTCCAATGATTTAAATTCTTCTTAGGTAGTTGGTTAATTGACCAAAGTTATTCTCTATTGTAATGATATTGTTGGCAACCCACCCTCATAATGTGAGATATTTAAAAAATTCTGGCATCCTTTTCCTTAACCTAGACTACTAGAAGAGGATGGATTTTATCCACCCCTTCGTTACTACTTGTAAATCATGAATGGATGGGCTTTACTGTCAAACCAACCTTGTGAAATAAGTTCTCATTATCCTCACTGCACAAGCAAAGTATCGGTTCAAATTAGTAAGAACACCCATCACGGAACTTAAAGATGTCACTATGTAGGAGACCAAGGTGAACTGTTTTTTTTTTTTTTTTCATTCCCTCTACAAAATCTGATGTAAAAACTAACATTAAAGTGTTAAATGGATGTCTCCAGTAAAAAATTAAATGTATTTTTTAATACTGATTATGCCTCATAGTCTCATTAACTTAGAATAATAGATGAATGTAAAAGAAAATGACAACCTGAGATCCTGGAAAGCAAATTTAAAACTCATTTCAAAAGATACATTTACTGCTTCTCAGTTCAACAATATCTCGAGAGGTTTCTGTTTGTAGATTTGAGCCTCTGTTTTAATAGTAGGGTTTATTCAGCATTTTAAGTGCTGGTAGATGATTATAAGCACCCTTAAGAGTTTTTCTTTTAAGAAAGAACCTCTCCAATCATGTTCACATGATTTGTTTACAAATTGATTCTTATCATTGCATTCTAATTATACAAAAATACATATTATAGTAACCATGTGGTTCAACCTAATATAGTTAGGTTATATGAATACAAAAAATCCTGTTTCAATCATGATTCAAATTACCTTGAGTCTGTGAAATATCTGAATAAATCATTAAAATGGCTTCAGGCAATCTGGCATAATTTTTCATTTTATTAAGGTTTTGAATGTCATTCCATAAATACAATTTGTTTTGCAGGTTTTGTACATTTTTTTTAGGTTAAAAAATTTTTGACTATTTTTTAATGGAATCTTTCCATGCTATTTTCTGTGTACGTATTTTATACACAGTTAAAATTATATTTCCCACACAGTTTTTTGAAGATTGTTGAAGACTTTGTATTTTACTGTACTGTTATGTCACTTAAATTTCCTGAGTAATGAAAATATTCCTTTTGTATTTACATAATTACTCACCAAATATTTGTACACCATAATCTAACCATACTTTAATGTTTGTTAGTGTGCTTCCAATTTTTGAAATGCTAACTGCTAGTGTTATTAACACAATTGTATGCAAAATCTTTGTTTTGTTTTGAATTGTTTGTTAAACTGTATGTCATAATTCTTTTTTAAAAATAAATTTATATTTCAAAAATAATTTTCAATTAAAATAATTTTAACAATAATTATCTATTTCAATAAAAATAAAGCTAATCATTCTTGTGAGAGTCAATACATTCAATGAGACCAGCACTAATGCATTTATAAAGATAGAACCCTATAAGCTGATTACATCCCACTAGGCCCAATCTTTTTAATATTTTCATATTGACTACTTAGCTATGAGCACATGAGGCTTCAAAGAAAAAAAGAAACCACATTCAAACCACACCAGGAGCCAAGAAAGTTCTCCTGTAGTGTTGGTTAAGGAAGGGTACAATAACTGCTCTAAAATACATATGGAGAATTCTTCATCACAAAGACATACTTTTGAGAAAAAGACTTAACTAAAGCCTTTTCCATTTAGAAAGAAGTAAATTTACTTAATTTCAATCTCTTTTAGCATTACTATTATACCTAAGCAAGGAGAGAGAAAGCTGAAAACCTTTATAAGGATTACAGCTTTATGACACAGTGCTCACTAAACATGTGAGACTTATAGAATGCATAGTGTTTAGCTTACCTATGCCTTGATACCCAGGAAAGCAACCCAGTACAATAGCACCTGAAATAATGGTAAGAAATAGCATTTAAAGAGACATACATAAATAAGGTTTTGGGAGAAACCAGAAGCTTCTGATACCTACAGTTATAAAGAAAAAACAAAGGCATTAGACACAGCCCAATTACTAGCGTAGTAAAATAAAATTTCACATTAAGGACTATAAATCAAATCTTATTACCCAACTAATTATGTCTGAAATTCAACAAAAAGAGCAGGTTATCATAAAATGTAAGGGGAAAAATAGAGGGACAGAAGGCATTAGAATCAGATTAGATGGGACACAGAAGACCAGTTTTAGAATTATCATGCAAGAATTTAAGATGACTACTATTAATACTTTAAGAGCTCTAATGGAGGACGTTTACAACAGAGCAAGCATAAGGAGTCTGAGAGAAGAGAGATGGAAACTCTAAAATATCAAAAGAAAATGCTTAAAGTCAAAATACTACCAGATAAAAGGATGGCTACTATGGTCTCAATAATATATTGGCCGAAGAAAAACATCAATGAGCTTCACCATGTCATGGGAAACTTCCCTTAATGAAATTTATAGACACAGACACACACAATTTCAAAGGTTATAATATTTGTGAGGTAATTTTGAATGCAGTGATATTCAAGCCATTGGACTACCCTAGGAAGAGGTCAAAAAGAAAATAATGGAAGAAATATTTCAAAGGAAAAGAGTTGAGAATTTTCTAAAATTAATGACAACCAGACCTTAGATCCAGGGATTTTGGAGAACACTAAGAATAATAAACATCAAAACATCTTAACCTGAACTCAAAGACACCTTGCTTTATGGAAGAAATCAGGGTGAAATACCTACATAGTATATGATTACAAGTATGTAATATTCTGGTAAACTCAAAACTATTATTAAATGTCTTTTTTATAGCCAGGAGTCTAAGGCAGAAGACAGATTAAAAAAGATAAATTACAGAGAACATTTTAGATGATAAAAACTATTCTGTGTGGCAATACTATACATCTGATATAATGCACTTATTAGACCATACCTACTTTACAACACAAAGACTTAACTTTAAATATATTCAGATTTTTAAAATAATTAACAGATTGAGAAACCCCAGATGGAATACAAATTGTAGCCAAAAACAGAAAACTCTAACTTTACTATAACTGTAGGAAGCAACTTCATCGAAGTGAGCAGTAGGGAAAAGTATTGGCTTGAGTAATTTTGGAAATCTGTGGAAATTATAAGAGAAAAAGTGAAAAACAAAAAAAAAAACAAAACAAACCCTGCACATAGCACATAAAGTTATGTCTTAGCGTATGTGGGTTAGCAGTTCTGATAGATGTACATATTGATATTTAACATTTAAGTAATTAAATGATGGGCAGTGGGATGCAGATTACTTACTGTTGGAGGGGGAGGTTAGAGACAAACGGAGGGTGGAGGTTAGCATGACTCATATGTAGTGGATTTGATTGGAGGCATCAGTACCCATGTATTGTTGACTTAATGCAGACACAGATGGTTATATACAGAAAGGTTTGCGGACATGAGTGCAGCAGAAGTTCCTACGCAAATAATCCTTACCATGCCAATTAAGACTGCCTAGCAGCAATGACATTGCGGTAGCAATGAGCTCACCTAAGCGTCCAAATCTTGTTGATCTCCAATGTTGTTTTCTACGATTAGAGTATGCTTTCAAAGGAGAAGGGGCTAATACTAAGACTGGGGTGGAAAATATGCAAGAAAAATCTGGAGAATCTTGTAATTTTCAGAAAGTACGAAAGTGATAAAATCAATTTGCATCCATGTTTTGCACAGGAGACCATAGAGGCTAACTATAAGAACCTGAAGGGGCCAAAGCTAGAAAATCTGAGTGGCAATATACAGTAGCATTGGATTACAACTCAAGAGTAAAATAGATATCCTTGAATTCATACTGGTATAAAAAACTATTGAATGAGTCAGTTCATGGGGAAGAGAGATAATATCTTGTGCAGCAGAATTCCAAATAATTTATGCATCTATCCCAATTTCAAGGAGAAAGAACGTAACTTCTCCATTGCTTAGATTGTATTCTGTGCATACAGATTAATTTCCAAAGAATGTAGTAAGAAAAAGGGTTTTTATTTTTTCATTTTATTCTATTTATCATTGTTTATTAGCACGTGTTCAAAATACATAAATTTTTGTATTTTTACAGGGAGTCAGTATATGTAGATAACACATCTTAAATATTTTTTTGATCTTTGTCCCTACATTCTCTCCCTGGATTCTATTAAGAAAGATGTTCCTATTTAAGAAAGGTCTATCTCACTACTCTGTAGAGTCTACTTTCTGTTTTGTTCTTTATACTTTAGATTTATGTTGATATAGCAATTAAACAATACACTATCCACCCAGTGATCAAATTAATATCAACAGTGATGAAATTCTACCCTATATCCTTGATACAATGTAATTAAAATGACATAGTATCTTTGTGATCTTCGCACAAAGACACATACTTCTGGCTTAACAAAGGAAATGTATTAAAAAATTCAGTATAGGAACATTCTACAAAGTAACTGACCAGCAGTCTTTAAAAGATTCAAAGCCGTCCAAAGTGAGGAAAGTATGAGAAACTGCTACAGACATGAGGTTTCCAAGGAAACGTACAGTTGAATGTTATTTGGTGTTCCGGATAGGATTCTGGAACACAGAGAAAGAACATTAGGTTAAACTATGAAAATATGAGTATGCACTTGCTTTAATAATGAGCTAATATTTTTCTTTAACAAGTATATTCTAAAAAAGAAAGAAACAAAGAGAATGTAAAATTGTTCTAA